GCTGCCTCAGGATCTTGCTGGCAAGTAGGACCCTGTTTCCTACTGACCCACTTCCTGCCTCTGAATTTTTTGGATCTGCACAGGGCCAGTTCCTGGATTCTCTTTAGCCTTGCTCCACCTGTCTGTTATGATATGCTACCTCTTACTAGTCTACCCTCATGTGTCCTGCTGGCCTGGTTTGCCACCTGTTGCTTGTTACTGTCCTCTCTAGACCTAGTGTCTGCCTCTGCGCATGTGCATGTTGGCCACTAACTCCAGACCTGCCTTGTTCCAAGGTTTTCTAAAGCCTCCTCATCCTGTCTCATTAGTCTAATTAGTTTTAACAAAATCTTTTTTTTAAAAAAAGTGTTAAACTCATTCCTGCCTCCTTAAGAGGGAATATAATGTAATTTAAAGAGGAAAAAATGTGTTTTATCAAAAATGACTAGTTGGAATATTTATTTTTGTTCTCTCCAGTGGCTATTGATATATGCTAGATTTCAATAAATGGTCCTGGGATTTTATGTTTTAAAGGCCTATGTGCTTTTAATTAGAAAGATGTACATGTGTGCATGCATGCATGTGTACATATGCACAATATAACTATATAAACCATTAGCTTTGCTATTGCCAAACTCCTCCAACTGGGAGACTCAGTTTGTTGATGTTATCTACAGTGTAAGAAAAATAAATTTGATAGATTACTATTTAGTAAGCTACCCAGTTGTACAGAATTCCTTTTTGCCAACTTCAGTTGTTACAGGTTCTTTGTATACTATTAAGATCTTGGTTTTATGCTGGGTAACTGACAAGCTGAACAAGTGACTCATGGCTGCACCCACTTTTCCCTGCTCTCCCACCTCCATTTAACCAGGACCCACTACTGTTCGTTTGCTCCCTGATTGACAAATACTTAGCATGTGAAATACATAGTCACGCGGTAACTTTTCTATTTCTGCCACGGCGAAATTTCAATTGAACATACTTGCTTGAATTTATCTCATGTGTAAGATGTTATGCAAGTGCTATGTGGTCAAAACCACGAGGAGAACATAGTCCTTGTTCATCGCAACTGACAATCTAGTGAGTGGGGAATTCCAGTGGATCTGAGCTATTGAGGAAATTGTCAGGGCCAAAGCATGGTATTGGAAAGGCGTAGGGTGCATTTTAGTAGGCAGCAAGTATTCTAGTTTGGCTTAGGTCTGGAAAAAAGAGTAATGCATGGGAAATGAATCTTCTATGACCTTAATTCAATAGGCAATGAAAGCTACTAAATAGATCCGTGAAATGAGCAGTTCAGAGCTGGGGAGATAAACCTGGCAACAAGTTGCAGAGAGTTGGAAAATAAATAAACAATACAACTTTGTTTGGACCAAATATATATTGGAAGAAGGAAAAAATAATAGAAAGAATATTGAACTAGATCCTTGAATTCAAGGGCTAGCATTATCACTAAGTATATGACACATAATTTTAGTACATAAAGTGCTCTGTTTTTGATGATATCAGAAAACTTTTGTTTTAGAGTTCAAGTGTATGCTCTTCATCCCAGTAGGTAATATCAAAGATATTATTTTAAACCTGGTGTTCTCTAGGTAATACAGTGGGGTATGGTGGTGGCTAACACTGCAGACTTTGAAATCAAACTTCTGGTTTAAAGTCTAGGCTTTTTCACTTAATGAGTAACCTTGAACAGCTTATTTAATTTTTTTTTGCTTTGTTTTCTCATGTGTAAAAGGCAGATAGTAGCATCCACTTCCAAGAATTGTCAGTATTAATTAATTTTTGTAATATCTTTAGAAGAGTGTCTGTTGCATAATAATTCAAAAAAAGCTATATTGATTATAGTAAATACAAGAATAATATTCTATTTTATGCAGATAATTCATACCACAATTTTAAGTATAGTTTTTTAAATATAAATTTGTAAAAATTTCTGATGTTAACAGCCACACAGAGTAAGAGTTTATCCTGTTAGCATGCATCAACTTTATGAATGTGGTGCTCAGATTGATGAAGCTGTGTCCCAGTACCAGAGTCCAGCAAGTATCTTCCATAGCAATTCGCCTGATTGTAAATACTAACTGAATAAGAAAATCTGTGGAAAGCACTTGGAACATATCAAGTTTAATTTTCAATATTTAAAACACCAATTGTTAGTGCTTTGAGAATGGAATAACTAAGTAACAAAAGTGTGTAACGATATCTCTCCGCGTTGCACTCATTCAAGCAGGAGAGCAGGATACTTTGGTTGATTTGTGAAAATAATCCATAAACAATTTTATGTCATTTTAATAAATTGCTAACTTTTAAAATGTGCTCATGCTTTAAAAATATTAAATACTTCAAACACGAAGGAAACTTTAAAGAATAATATCATAAATATTTTTGCTCATTACTTAATTTTAACAATCTGTGCTGCCACAAATGCTTCAAATATTAAACTAAAATTTACAAATGCATTTGAAACCCTGTGGATCCCTAATTCCATAGCAATCTCTCTCTCTCTCTACCTGTACGTTTCCTATGTCACATGAAACCATGATTCTGACATCAACACTTACATTCCCATTCATAATTTTACATATGTACTTTAATGAATGAATCCATAAAAATGAACATTATGTAAATGGCATATTGTATATTTGAAATGATTTTTCAGTATCCATCTGCTTTTTAAAATTAGCCGTGTTGAATTACCTTGCCATGTTTGTTGAAATCCAATTGCCCAGCTATGTGTGGATTTATGTTTTGACTTTCTATTTTTTTCTTTTAATGAGAAATATATACTGTAAATTATTCACTTCTGCTCGATTTAAAAATCATTTTGGATATTCTAGATATTTTTATCATTTCTATAGAAATTGTAAAACCAGTTCATTGATTTCTAGGAAAAAAATGCCTATGGGATGAAGATTTATATCGTGTTGAATCTGTACATTAATATTAAGAGAATCAACATCTTAACAATATTAAGTATTTGAGTTCATGGTCATTCATTTATTTGCATCTTCTTTAATTTTCTTATCAATATAAATGTTAGTATATCACACATATTTTATTAATTCTTAAGCATTTCATGTTTATGGATGCTATTATTAACGGTATTTTTAATTATAATCTCCAGATGTTTATTGATATTATGTAGAAGTAAAACTAATTTTTGTTTCTTGGTCTTATATCTGGTAACCTTTTAAAGTTATTTATTATACCTGCAACTTTTTCTTTGATACATTTTTCAGTAATTTCTTCATACATGACTATATGCTCTACTCATGTAGACAGTTTTGTTTCTTTTTTATAAACCTTATTCATTTTATTTATTTATTTATTGCCTTATTCTACTGGCTAGAAACACCAGTGCAATGTTGAGTAGAAGATGTAAATATGGACATTTTTGCCTCTTTATTGACCTAAGGGTGAAGACCTTTAATATTTCACCATTAAGTACGATATTAATTCTAGCTTTTTTGTAGTTGCCCTTAATCAGGTTTAGAAGGTACTTTCAGCACTTTGAATAGGTCACTCCATTTTCTTTTGGCTTGCAATGTTTCTGAATAGAAGTCAGAATATTTTCTTTAGCTTTGTATCCCTGAGCAGGTCTCTATTGTCTTTGTTGCTATTAAAATTTCTATCTTTATCACTGACTTTCAGTAACTTGATTGTGATATGCATGTGGTCTTGGGCAGAGCAATTACCAGTAAGCCTTTACTATATTTATCTGTAATATGGGACCCTGAAGATCTTAAAGAATTTTGTAAGCATTAATCAAAATGTAAAAGTATTCTAAAAAGTTTATAGTTTACTATAATTACTTCCCAATCCAATAATACTTTGAGTGAAAACCAAAGTAATATAAGTTTGACTCTAGAATCATAATAAAAATAATGCCTTTTGTTACCTTCTATTAAATTATAGTTTTATTTGCAGACACTAGTTCAGAATATCCTGTCAAAAATGCCTGAAATGAACAATATCTTGACTTAATTTCCAATTCACATTTGATGTTATTTGGGTACAGTGTTGAGTCCAACATTTCCTTGAGAATGCTCTTAATCATTCATAAAAAAAAATCAATGGTCTTACTTATCAGAATTCAATATAATTTCCATAAATTTCTCTTCAATCCCTATAGGTGAAACAGACATACAAATATAGCACTAAATATCACAAAGTATAATACAATCCTAAAATCAGATACATTATCTTACTGATATATATTATACACTGACCAGCCTGGGTAAAGATTATATTAACTTTGTAGAATTCAAAAATACTTTATTGAAATACTTTTATATGTGAGATCTAATCTATTCCTTAGTGCGTCTTCATGAGTTGGTGGGCATAGGAGTCCAGTTCTGAATGGAAATGCTATGCACATTTATGAAGTCATGTCCGGCGAATATTACTTATCCTACGAAGTCAAGTTGGTTTGTCAAGATTATGCTTCTAAACATTGTTTCCATATTTTTGCTTTTAATATCATTTGGTTGAGAATTTCAGACCATTTTGTATTCCAGGCTTCATCAAATACTTCATTGTGAGTTTTCTAAATGCGCCCCATAAAAATGGATTTATCACAATAATGTCATGGACTTGTAGAACATTCTGCTGAACTTAAATCCCATTTTAAAAATCAGTGTTTGGTACCAGATTTGGAAAGTGAATCACCATCTCCTTTATGACAAGAGAAATACTTAATTAGCTTTTTTTCCCAAGATTTCTTATACATTTCACCTATCATCCGAAAGAAGAAAACGCTGCATTTTAAAGCAGGATGAACGTGGAGGTGATATCCACAGCTGCTCGTGTCTCTGGCAAACCATTCTGAGAGGCTCCAGTTTCATTTGGTTCAGATGAAACACATGTTGCTCATTTACTGTACATGTGCTGCAATGTATTTTGACAAATCTGATCTAAAAATGTTACAGATGTTCCTCATTATTTTAATTTGAATTTAGTAGTCACCCATGTAACTTGGCTATAATCTAGCCCTTTAACAACATAATTAAGAGAAAAATTTAGCCATGGTTAATATGTATCAATTCAGTTACAGCTTTGTGATATAGTTAGCAACCTATTCACACTTAACAGGTGCTCTGTTATAATTTTTTTCTGATAATAAAGCCAAGTGTCTTTTTAAAACATGTTTTAAATAATTTCAGGTGGACATGAAATTATTCTGATCCTAATGTCTTTTAGAGAGTTACTATTCAAGGGTCTAAGATCAGACAACAACATAACTTTAGTACTTGCTAGAAATGAAGGTTCTCAGGTCCCATCCTAGATCTACTAAAGCAGAATCTGCATTTTAACACAATCTTCAGATTTGAATACACATTAAATTTTGATAAGCACTGTTTAGAGGAGGCCTCATAGTAAATGTGTTTTATGCACACATATGCATATGGGTCAAATCTGATCCTCTATGTTGTACATATATCTTTTATACATATATTACAGAAAATTGACTGACTTGCAGATTGAGCTGTTTATTTTCTTAGTTAATGCATTGAAAAGTAGCCACATCAATATTTTTCACAGGCTGTTATCTGTCTTCTACAAATACAAAACCCACATCCGTAAGTATCGGCACGCCACACATTTTCAGTGACCATGAAGCACGCTGAAGAACTTTGAATTCCAACGGAATCTTTTAGAGTTCTCATCATATCTTATTATTTATGTAACTTTCTATAAAATAAACTTGTTAGTTGGAACAATCATGAACTACATTTATTTATACTGCCTTGCCCTGACAAAACAGGAGGCAGGACTTCTTGCAAGATTATGGATTTAATTTCTTGGATAATAAATTCAGTTTTAAAATTACTATCTATAGGTATCAAAGGAAATGATTTTATCTTAGTTATTTATACTAAATTATATTGTACTTACATATATTTAATTACATTATGATAATTATCAATTATATCATAAATGTGATAGAAAATCAAATTTCTATTTATAAGGATCTCTGAAATCATGCTGCAAAATATCTCAATTCCTTAAAATTCAATTTTATTGGCCATAATATTTCCTATATTTATATGCCAGCAGAAATATGCATAAGATATAATTCTTATCATGAAAGAAATAGAATAATTAACATTATTTTGTTTTATGACTCAATTGAAATCTATGACAAAATACCATATAATTCAAAACTTAATACATTGTTACTATCTAACAAAAAGGAGGCTGAAATATTTTCTTTTTTAAAAAATCTCTAATTTGCTGTTACTTGGTTGATTTTTTGTTTTCAGTTCCACCAAATATACTCCTTAATAATCAAACCCAAACTTGGGAATAAAATAAAGACCATTTCTTGTGACCTATTCAGAAGTCTCTATTGGCACCACAGGAGCACATCATTAGTTTACAAGCTTGCAACACATTACATGTTTTTATTATTGTTTTTATAGATTTCTGCTGAAGAAACCTTCAAAATTGATAATATTGGGTTGACTAAATAGCTAATGGACAAATACTCTGAGACATTTAACCGTATATTGAAATATACAATATAGTGGTGCAGCTTGTGCCTGAACATGTACAAATGTAGATAAACTAGAAAAGTCCTCTCCAGCTTCATATAAGCAAGTGCACTGTTTAATTTTTCTTGTTTCAAACTAAAGATCACAGTGCAATTTAAATAGCCCTCAGTGTCCCCGAAGAGCTACTGTGTGTTGTATAAAAGCTAAGTAATCCCTGCAGTGTCAGGGGTTACTGTTCAGCTGTTCGAGATCATGAGATGATATCTCAGCACTCATAAAACAGAGGATTCAAAACACAGGGGCATGCGTGGAAGTACAGATCATAATGACAGTCCTGGAAGTTATCCACAAGAAACGTCAACACCCTGGAGGCCAAAATAACATGACTGAATCAACATTTACAGCTTTTGTTCAAGCGTAAGTCCAATATGGAGGGAAAATTCACATGGAAACATTAATGCTATAGTAATAATAATTTTATTTTTGGCTTATTCCCAAAATATGAAAGACTTCAAAAACCTCTGGGATATCTTTTCTTAAACATTTTAAATGAATAATATTTATTCTGTACAAGAGAATTAACTATCCTAAATCAGCTACTTATTAGAACTATTCATAAAATGTCAATGTATTTAGCAAGGCACAGTAAGGCAAGCATAAACATTTCTTTAAGTATGCTCATTTCAATTCAGAAGAATGAGGGGTAATTTTGGCCCCTGGGATTTGAAAATATCTTCTGGTTGTAATCTTTGGTCTGAATATTTACATGGTGGTTTCTTCCCATTCAAGCTCAACATCACCTATAACATAAAGTAATAGGTCACAAGAGAGAACTGAAGTTGACAATTCAAAATATTTAAATGCTTCATAGCAAAAACACAGTGCAGATGAAAAAGCTATTATCCTAACTGGGCTTAGAAATAAAAAAAATTGATAAGTGCACAGCCAAGCTTCTAAATCATTTTCAATAATGTTTTCAAAAATGGCTTAAAAAACATTTTCAACAACGGTTGTTATTAAGTTAATTCTCCTACTATATGTGGTAAATTAGTAAATTGGGGTACTCATTGCCTGTTTACCTTCCATTGCATCCAAAGAGTCCATCTTCTGAAGTGCTGAATAGTTAACAAAACAGATGGGCTGGTTACTTCCTTTACTTGATAGGAGATCCAGAATACACTGGTGTAAGAAGATATACTGTGCCTAGACATAAAAGAAAGAGTGCTTAAATAAATGGATGTGGTGAAGATATTTTTTATAATATGATATGTACTGTTACATTGAAAAGTAATATTGAATTCAACAAATGCTAAATAGCTAAATTCGAGGCTACATACAGAATTTACCTTGTATGTAAATGATTTTCTACCATCTCAAACATAAGGTTTTCCAAATTCCTGTGGCTTCTTATGGCTTTAAGTTTCTTTAAAAAAATACTTGTTGCCCTAACCGGTTTGGCTCAGTGGATAGACTTGGCCTGCCTACTGAAGGGTCTCAGGTTCGATTTCGCTCAAGGGCATGTACCTTGGTTGCAGGCACATCCCCAGGAGGGAGTGTGCAGGAGGCAGCTGATCGATGTCTCTCTCTCATCGATGTTTCTAACTCTCTATCCCTCTCCCTTCCTCTCTGCAAAAAATCAATAAAATATATTTTTTTAAAAAATACTTGTCTTTGAACACCAAATGTTAATATGTTCTTTCTTGCCATGATTATAAAAAGTGACAAATTAGATTACTTAAATTTGTTTAGAAGTTTCCTTCTTCCTGTTAGGTCTAATTGAATAATTTTTCTTATAAATAGTTTTCTTGTTGGAATGCAGATGCTAAATTTACTTTCAAATTCTGTGAGTGAGCATATCCATACACCATCAGCTCATTTAAGATACGTTTAACAATTCTTTTAATCACCTAACATTTGGCCTACTTATTGTCAAGTATCTGGTCTCTATTTGTAAATAAAAGGCAGTTGACCATTGAAATATCCAAACAATCTGGTGCTAGACAAGAACTCCTAACAGTTCATCTGAATGTTTGGGCTAAATTTATTACCATGCGAGTTCTTTAAGTTTATTCAGTATAATTCAATATTCTGTTAGAATTTTTGAGTTTGGACTTCCCCAAAGGTAGTTAAAGTTACAGTCATAGAAAATCACCTTCACTTTTACTTAGGAAATATATCTGACATTAAACAAATATAACCATGTGCTTAAGATACATAAATATACAAATAGACAACTGCTTTAAATAGAATGTCCTCTATGTGAGCATCTGAAGAGGTTATATTTATATCTATTACTACTATAGTACAAAACTTGTTTGAAACCCCTTACTGAAACTGTCTTCAGATATTGTTGGTCATTATCAGGAATATCTATTTTTTGTGGATTACAGAATGTTTCCCCAAACACCTCATCACCGGAATGTTAGTGCTATGAGAACAGAACTCTCTTATTCACTGCTCAGTTCCCATTGCCTGTAACAGTGGTTGGCATGTCTAGTTGTGTAATAAATGTTTGTAGACTTAGTCGCATTTAATTCTCACAGCTAACAAATCTCTACCATATAAGGACAGATTTCATTTGGAAAATATCCAGAAGTCATTAGGAATAAAGTTTTGTAAGTGCAACAGATCATCAAGTTTCATAATTCAATTTTGTTAAGGAATGAAGTGTTGTTATATTATTTTATAATGAAAAGTCTACTGAAATCATTAGTAAATTACTTGTCAAGGTAATTCCAAAAGAGTATTTTTAAACACATATAACACAATGAATAACATTATTGGTTAAAATAAATTGACACTGTATTTCCTTTGAAAACAACAATCAATTAGTCTGCTATAAATTTTTTTCATCACATTTGAATTTGAAATGTGAAGCTTCTGACTGTTGCCATCTCATCTTCTCCACTGGAAAGCATGCTGGGTGGAAACTCCGCCAGCAGGGCAGGCTGAACTCCGTGGGGCAGTACTACATTTTCCAAGATCCCTCTGTCATGTGCATGTGTGTTATTGCCAAAGGGACATCCAAGAGTGAACCAGAGACAGAGAAGCAGCAATCAGACTGTCAATCCCCAGAGGGAAAGTAGGGGAGGGTGGGGATAAGGGGGAGAGATCAACCAAAGGACTTGTATGCATACATATAAGCCAAACCAATGGACACAGACAACAGGGGGATGAGAGCATGAGTGGGGGGCGGGGGAGGTTGGGGGTTAATGGGGGGGGGGGGATGAGGACACATTTGTAATACCTTAACCAATAAAGAAATTAAAGATTAAAAAAAAAGAATGAAATTTCAGTTTCTTGCATAGATAGTTTTATTACCTTAATTCTTAAGGTAAGAATGATGTAGTTTCCTCATCAGAGGGATCATAAAGTATACGTGGAAAGATTTAAAGAACTTAACATATGTAAAGTGTCTGCCAAAAAACTAGGAACCCAAAATATATCAGTTTTTTTCTTTCATGCTCTTCACATCAGTAAATCTCCAGGAGAGCCAGAGCAGAAAAGAGGCTCATCCAGATTAACCCCTATTTGAACCACCAATAGCGTCTCAGGATATTATATCACGGCAGAGTATTCTTTCAGAAAGTCCTTTCAAATCTCTTGGGGCTGCTGGGAACTGTTTTAGACAATGAAAGATAAAGCTCTCTCCTGGGTCTGGGCCATGCCCTTCTGGGGTCTTTTTGTTCAGTATTTTGCCCAGGTTCCTGCTCCCCACTCCTGCTCACAGCTACTGTAATATGTGCTGACATGAGGATTCTTCATAGGAACTGGAATTACTCCCAAGTGCAATAGAAGAAAGTAAAAAACCACTCTTCTGCAAGGCAATGCTGGTTTGTAAGGACTGGAGCCAAGGTATGGTCATTTTCTTTCTTTTTCCCTTCCTCCCTTCCTCCCCTCCTCCCTTCCTTGCTTTCCCTCCCTCCCTCCCTTCCTTCTTTCTTTCTTCCTTTCTTTCTTTCTTTCTTTCTTTCTTTCTTTCTTTCTTTCTTTCTTTCTTTCTTTCTTTCTTCTCTCTCTCTCTCTCTCTCTCTCTCTCTCTCTCTCTCTCTCTCTCTCTCTCTCTCTCTCTCTCTCTCAAAGGACAGTAAGGAGTAAAACCCCCAGGGAATAAAATTGGGTGAGAGAGAGCTTCAGGCTTCCAGCTTGGGACACAGCAGAGCCTTGTCACATTGACTGCATGCTGGGCAGTGACCGCATGCTTGATGTTTTAGATACTGTCTCTTATTTAATACTGACAACAAAATCGTGAAAAAATAACATGGCTATTTTACAAAAGAAAATGATCTCAGAGGGGTTAATTACACAAGGTCCCAGAGCCAGCAATTAGCGGGGCTGGATTCTGAACTCAGTTCTCCAACTCCAAGACTCATGCTCCTTCAGTTCCACTACCCAACTCCCGCATTTTGCTCTAGCTGATTAAACAAGCATAATGTATGAAGATTATAGCATGCATCGAGTACTGACCTGTGTGAACTTATTAACAGGTATTTTTGAACACACTATTTACAAAGTTCAGTTCTACAAATTTGTAGAGTATGGCAAAAAAATTTTCAACTTTTATTATTTGAAGATTTACTCTGGCCTCTAGAAGAATACAATATCCCCATCTGTCCCACCCTCTATTCTATTCAAGAGAGCCAACCAATCGTGATCAATGTCAACAGCAGTGATCACCAGTGAACGGGTGTGCACCCAAGCACCTGGGAGGGAAATCAGGTTTCTATTTATCCTTATTGTTAACTAAAAATATGAAAAACTTTGAAGTTTCATAATGGCTAATAGTTGGACTGATATTGGCACTCTTATAAGTCCCCTGGATAAGAATCAGATACATAATTTGCAAGGCCCAATGCAAAATGAGAAGGTGTGTTCTCTTCCTCAAAAGTTATTAAAGATTTCAAGATAGTGACAGCAAACATTAAAACAGGCGCAAGGCCCTTTTGAGCACTGGGGATCTGAGAGACTGTGCAGGTTTGCGTATCTGTGATGCCAATCCTGATCACAAGTCACCTTCCATTTCTGAAGTATCCTGAGAGAAGGGTAACATCACTCACTTGTTCTCTTTCAGCATATCAAGGAATGGATATGGATTACATTACTTAGTTTTACATAACCATCAGAGAATTGATGTAGCTTAAAAAGATTCCTACAAAGAGACTGTAGATACTTGGTATGCAAGCTCAGATGAATGACAAAATAATGGCAGGGGTGATATTTTTTGTACTCCTAGAGCAATCCTCTTGTGGTGAGCTAGATTACTTTTAAAAAATTAGAAATAGCCCTAACCCATTTGGCTCAGTGGATATATTGTCAGCCTATGGAAGGGTCATGGTTCAATTTCCAGTCAGGGCATGTCTCATGCCTTGAGTTGCTGGCTCAATCCCCAGTAGGGGGCATGCAGGAGGCAGCCAATCAATGATTCTCTCATCTTTGATGTTCCATCTCTCTCTCCCTCTCCCTTCCCCTCTGGAATCAATAAAAATATATTTTAAAAAATAAAAAATCAGAAATAATTTAAAATATGCATTTATAAATTAAGTGAAATTAGCCTGTCCTAAGTATATATTTTATATTTTAAAAATACCTAATGATAAAATGAAACCCTCACAATTAGCAAGACTTTCAAAATGTTATTAATCTGTCTTATCTTTTTTATTTCGTATTTTGTATATGTTTAATAATTTGCATAATTGTACAAGTACATTTTAAAAACAAATGCCTATGTATTGGAGTTGAATGCTCAAGCACTTTTTGCTGAAAGGGATGTGGAGTCCAAGAAGGTTGGATGTCTCTGGTCTAGAGCAACATCTTGCTAAGAACATTAATGTTTCATGACATGGCATTATAAGTCCTCAGGTCAAAAAGGGTTTAAGGATTCCACAATCATATAAGTTTAGAAAATGTTGCCCACAAAGGTTCTGCATTTGCAATTTTCAATGTGCATTAGTATAGAGGCTCTAAGAAATTCTAAGAGTCAGTTTAACTTCTTTCTCCAACTTATTTTAGCAAAGAACCTGTTTTCTTACACTTTTAAAAACTGATGCCACTCATGTTTTCTAGGGTGTACCTTGGAAAATACTGTTAGAACAGATCTTTATATTGACTGTGAGAAAATCTCTACTTGGATAGCATACAAATTCCAATCCAAAGATACAGATAGGGACATCTTGTATATTATGACTTGGTTTGGCATTTGGCTCTGACAGTTATGAATAGTATAAACTTGGAATATCACTTAACTACTTGGAACATCTGCTTCCCTATTTGTAAAGCAGAGCCAATAATACCAAGTCTGTTGATTATTTTTATTGGACTACAAATAAAGGATTAAATAAGTTAACACATGTAGGAATCTAGTATAGCATAACCCACCAGACACTCCATAGAGGGTTTGTAGTCTCATTACCATTATAGTATGTGATTTTTTCTTTTTTTGTTGTTTGTTTCTTTTTTCTCATCCAAGGGTATTTTTTCTATTGAGTTTTTTAGAGAGAGTGGAGGGAGGGAGAGAGAGAGAGAGAGAGAGAGAGAGAGAGAGAGAGAGAGAGAGAGGGAGAGAGAGGGAAAGAGGGTGAGAGAGAGAGAGAGAGAGAGAGAGAGACAGAGAGAGAGAGAGGGAGAGAGAGAGAAATATTAATGTGAGAGAGACACATCGATTGGTTGCCTCCAGGACAGGGGATCCAAACCTGTGTCCTTGACTGGGAATTGAACCCGAGACCTTCTGGGGCACAGGCCGATATTCTAACCACTGAGAAACTCTGGCCAGAGCAGTATGTGATGTTTTTTAATGATGAAAAATCTGTATATTGTAGAAATATTTTTTACTTCCAAATCAAAACGACAAACAAAAATTCCCAGGTAATATATACTATAATAAATGTTATTGGTATTAATATGCAATAGGAATAAATATGGACAAGTGAAATACATAGAACCTCAAAAGTCAATATTTTAAACGTTTTCCCTATTATAACTAAGCATGTTTACAAAGGCGATTGATTTGATCATTTTCTAAGCTCCCCAAATTTGAGAAATGTTAAAACAAGTCAATTTTACAAATTATTTTGTACACGCCTGTAAGTATAAACAAGTTATGATGAGCAGTCAACTAACATTCTTGAAGGATGATTGTGGCAATTGGGCTTCAGTCCTCCTATAATCTCCATCTGCCGCCCTCCCCCCAAGGATGTTTATGATGCTGGAAAAGAGAGTGTCTGCTATGCAAAGACAGTTTCAAGTCCATGTCCAACCACATTGCTGCCACTAAGATCCTCCCTTGTAGAAATTCTAGAGCTGACACCTCACACAGTTTTGGGTCTTACCAGGTTCTGTACCATGCACATTCTTTCACTTCTCAGTTCAGCTACTAGTCCATATATGTCCACAAAATCATGATCATTTATATGCTGTGTTAAGTGGTCCAGAGCAATAAAAACTCCCGTTCTTCCAACTCCAGCACTGCAGCAAGAGTGAAATTACATAAAAATTATTCAGTAAAAAGTGGTTCATGCGTATGGTGATGAAGAAAATAAGTTATGATAGTAATACATTCTAAACAGTTTTTTTTAAAATTTGAAGGTCGATATTTTGGGAGTTTCTTTGGATTGATATTGTTACCAAGAGTGTTTAGATAGGGCAAGATGATTATTATTAATACCAAATATTTGAGTTATTTTTTTAAAGGAACACTCCTTCTCCTTTCATAGTATTTTATAGGTTGTAGTTGGAGAAGTATGCAAAAATATTTTGAAAAATTGTTGAAAATTCTTAACACCCCAAACTCTGTATTAAACATATTTTGGGTTACCAATAGAAATGCTAAACATTCAGCCGTATAGCATTTCCTCTGTATGATATTGAAACAATTTTTTTTTCCTGTAGAATTTTATTTACTTCCTATGAATAATAAAATTGAGAAGCTATTTCCTTTTAAAAATTAATTAAATACCCAATACAGGTATGTGCTCCATAGAAACTATTATGTGATATACCTGCAAAGATTTATTCAGAAACTCCCATTATAAAAGACAATGGGTATTTAAATAGTTAATATTTGCAGTAAATATTAAAAATGAAAAAGACATTTTAAAGGCTACCTAGTCTTATGAATGTAACTTTAAACAACATGAAACTGCCATTTTTATAGGTAAGAAAAAGTCTATTTACTGTGATTTTTCCTAAGGAATAGGAGCATTACAACATAAATCTGACATGCCTGAGTAGGGTAATCAATCATTGCATCATTCAATATATTTTGAGTGTCAGACACTGTCCTAGGCATCTGGAGTGTAACAGTGAAAAATACAAAGTTCCTCACATATAAAGCTTGTACTCTAGAGAAAAGACTATAGTGTTACACAAACAGACATGCATAGTATGTATAGGCTATAATAGGTGTTATTATGATACATAAATCAGGTTAAAGAGATGGAGGGTGATAGGGTAGGATAGGGTCATCAGAGAAAGCTTCTCTGATAACGTAACATTTGAAAAGAAACTCGGATAAGGTTAGGGAGGGCACCATGTGGGCATATGGGAGAGGAGCATGGCAGCTGGAGGGAGTGGAAGAACAGATCTGAGTGGCAGGATGTTCAATGTGTTCAAAGAGCAAGGAGATCACGGCGAGGAGAGCGGAGTGGGGAGGTGATGGGCCCGGTCAGAGCTAGCTGTAGGCTGGTATGTGGAATGTGAGAGGAAGAGGGGAGTCAAGGATGAGTCCAGAGTTTCTGGACCAAGCAGAGGGGACTTACTGTTTTCAAAGTTGGGAAGGAGGAGAAGAAGTGAGATGGGAAATTGAATCAAGTGTTCAGTTTTGGACATATTTAATTTTCAGAATTTTGTGGTCATTCAGGATGTCATATTGAACTGAAAGTTGAGGTAAGAAGTCAGAGTTGGAGATAATAACTTAGTAGGTTTAACATGATATTTAAAAATGATTATTAACATAATCCTACTTTTCTGTGATCTTTTATTTATTTAAATCACAAAGGAGAAGACTCTACTGTTTTTGAGGCTTCAAGAGAGGAGGTGCCAGTGGCTGTGTATATGGAAGATACAGAGAAGGTGAGGCAACTATCCATTAAAGATTTTAATCATTAATGATGCCAGTTTAAAATAAATCACTACACTTAGAAGCAAACTGTTGTGTCATTTATACTATATACTACTTTGTTAAAAATATTATGTATATGAAGGGAGAATATAATTGGTAAGGTAAGAATGAGACTTTCATATCTTGTTCTATATGCTTTTAAAACATAAACATTGTTCAGATATTTTATCAAGAGAAAACATTCATGTAATAAATATAAATTTATAAAAATAGGACATATTAAGAGAATTACATACAAAATAGATGACTTGGAACTACGACCTTCAGACATTATCAATACTGAATGAATGTTCATTTGTGTTTTAAGCTAAAATAAAATAATATTTTAAAATTGGAAAAAAGAGCAAGCATTTATGTATTACTCTTATAATTTGTTTTTATTTTTTTAAAAGAGAAGTATTTTATTTTATTTTTTAAATATATTTTTATTGATTTCAGAGAGGAAGGGAGAGGGAGAGAGAGAGAGAAACATCAATGATGAGAGAGAATCATTGATTGGCTGCCTGCTGTATGCCCCATACTGGGGATTGAGCCTGCAACCTGGGCATGTGCCCTTGACCGGAATTGAACCCGGGACCCTTCAGTCTGGAGGCCAACACTCTCTCCACTGTGCCAAACCAACGAGGGCTCTCTTATAATTTAAAATCCAGAATATTCCTGGAAAAAGTTGATCATTTAAATTACAGATTTTTTTCCTCTAAAAAAACTGGATGAATTATTATTTTCTTATTTAACTACACTAATTATAATATATACCCATTTGAAAAATTACTAATAAACTAAACGTTAGAATTACTATGATTAATAATAAACTTATTGATTATTATAATAACAAACTTTAAAATTATTATAATAGCCAACTTATTAATTATTACGATTAATTAATGTATCCAAAATATATTTCTAAGTAAAATGTTTTATTGTGGTAAGTGATACACAACATAAAATTTACCATTTTAACCATTTTGCAGTGCGTAATTCAGTGCCGTTAAGCACACTGACACTGTTGTACAATCATCACCACTGTCCACTTTCAGAAATTTTTCATCACCCCAAACAAAAGCTCTGTACCCATTAAACAATAACTCCTCATACTTCTCTCCCCCCAAGTCCCTGGTAACTATCATTCTTTCTGTCTATATTAATTTAGCTATTCTAGGTATCTTATGTAAGTGGAATCATAAAACAGTATATCATCCACTTTTTCTCTAATCTCCAAACTCCAATTGTTGAAGACACTCAAGTTGAAATTGATTTAGATATATCATGTTAGAAAACAAAAATTGTATCAATCTGTCCAGAAACACCCTGAATACTATACAACCTTAAGTTTTATTTCTAAGAGTATTAAATACTAATATAAATAATGAAGGGGAAAAAATCTCAATTTATACTCATATTCATTAACCATGTTCAGAGGCTCAGGTCAAAGGAAAACATTCGAATAGCTAAAACTTTGTAGAAATTTAGAATTATACTTGGGTGGTCACTTAAATTGATCTTCAATTTCTTTTAATTGTCCTCTGCAATATCCATCTAGAAATGTGTTTTTAGAAGAAATGTTTAAATTACAATAGTATACTAATATCTGTTGAAATAATAAAAGATAAGGTGTTTATTCATAAGATCTTACTCATACACACAAACACACATACATTAATGATGGGCTATCATTTTTAATTTTTAAAAGGCCTATAAAGGTAAAATCCAGGCAAGAATCCAGGAAAAGTTCTATACTGGTATATATGTCTTTTAGACATATTTTATTTCTGCCATGTGAACTTTTATAAAGCCACATCGTTATTTATTATAGCCAATAAAATATCTGAAAAGTAAAAGCTGGAATGAATCTACATTAACTTCTGCCAGAAAAATAATCAATGGTATCATGATAATGAAAGACCACATTGAGTTTAAAGACTATTTATAGTGTCTCATATAAGGTTCTAATAATATATCTTTCTTACCTGCAGTGAACAATCATAGGTGTGGTGTCATGTGCTCGACTTGCTCGAACCAACTTCACAAAGTGAATTAATGGAGTACTGTTTTCAGGAACCCCATGCTCAGGCCAAGCAGTAAAGTTACACTGTCGGACAGTCATGCAATCCCCATGCTAAACAAAGTGACAGATTTAAGAAGCATGACACAATCATTTAAGTACATAATGAAGGCTGAGAGAGCTGATGTCTTTTGAAAGTGATCTTTTAAAAATGACTGTTTACCAAACAGAAAAACTGTGTTTTTATTTTTCCTGTAAGAAAGGTCTTTTACTGCTGCTACCATAAAGAAAATTGCCTTTAGTATGAATAAAAACAATAAGAAAACCTGCAAAGAGATGATAACATATTGATATTCAAATGTAGTATAACTTTCTGTAGCATTGTAAAAGTAGATTTTGAAATAATTTTTGACCCCCAAACTTACATAAACACTTTCACCAATTATTCAAAATACAGATATTGGGTGTCTGATAATGTCAGAAAGTACAAAGATCCTTATATTCTTTTCTGTGTATATAGACACTTCTATAGACTAATAAAGAGAGATCCCACACTCTCACATCTGTACTGAATGTAGATAGAGATGAGTGATTTGGGAAATTCTTGGTTTAAATAAAATATTAAACCTCGTAATCTAGTTCTTCCTTCCTTTCCCCCCGTTGTCTACCTAAGAATTTGATGCTAACTGGTTAATATAAACTTTAACCATGTGATTTGGAATTCAGACACAGTGGCATAGATATTGAAGTTAGATGACAATTCAAAACTTCTGTTTGAGACACAATGGGAAAGCATTGTTGACTATACAGGTATCATTGCAAGGCATAGCTCTAAGAATTCATTTTATAAATTTAGAGCATTCATATTTGCTATCATGTTCCTGCCCCGCCATTTTTTACCCTTTCAATTTTCAGATCCCTGATGGTCCAATCTATTTGAACATCCTCCATTAGCTTTGTGATCACTATATCTCCAAACACCGTAACTGGTTTGTTGTCCTCTGGCCAATACTGATGGCATCTGATCTGTATTCAGAGAAAATCACCAGTCATAAGAACCACTGTTATATGGATATGTATCACAGTTATTGCTACTTAGTTAAAATTGCCTTATAGATATCCAAGTTATTGATGATTTGCAGTATTAGCTGAAATTGTCACACATACATTAACACAATTGTAAAATAATATTTTGTGAAAAGATTTTAAAAAGACTTACCCGCCCTTTTTCAAAACACTGTGTTAGCATTACCAATGTTTTTGCTCTGGTTTCCCAAACCATTCTCCAAAAATCCCCAACTGTTCCTGGTAATGGACCTTGAGTAGCAATAAATTCATTTGGACATAAGTAACCCTAGAAGGACATAAATACAACATCGCATCAGCATTTACATATATATGTATGTGTATGTATATGTGTGTGTATATGTATGTAAATAGATAATAGGGTTTCTTTTGTTTGTTTTTTACTACATATGTCTCCTCCCCCCCCCTCCCCGCATTGACCTCTCCCTGGCCACTCCCACTCCCAGAACATGCCCTCATCCCCCTACTGTCTGTGTCCACTGGTTATACTCATATGCATGCATACAAGTCCTTCGGTTGATCTCTTAACCCCCTGCCTACCCAGCCTTCCCTCTGAGGTTTGATGGTCTGTTCGATGCTCCTCTGTCTCTGGATCTGTTTTTGTTCATCAGTTTATGTTATTCATTATATTCCACAGTGAGTGAGATCATGTGGTATTTATCTTGCTCTGACTGGCTTATTTCACTTAGCATAATGCTCTCCAGGTCCATCCATGCTGTTGCAAATGATAAGAACTCCTTCTTTTTTACAGCAGCATAGTATTCCATTGTGTAGATGTACCACAGTTTTGTAATACACTCATCTACTGATGGGCACTTAGGCTGTTTCCAAATCTTAGCTATTGTGAATTGTGCTATGAACATAGGGGTGCATATATCTGTTTGATTGGTATTTCTGATTTCTTGGGATATGTTCCTAGAAGTTGGATTACTGAGTCAAATGGGAGTTCCATTTTTAATTCTTTGAGGAGACTCCATACTGTTTTCCACAGTGGCTGCACCAGTCTTCATTAGTTATTGAGCAGTATATGAAAAATATATTAGTTGTAAAATAGTTTAATATTTTAAAATATTGTACAGTTTGAATGCTAAATAATATTAGATACTCAAAATGTCCAACACCTAATTTTAATCTCACAATGTGATATATTAAACAAACTAACTGTTCTTGAAATTTATTTCTAACTTTTCAAAAAAACATGGACTACATAAAAAAGAAACAGCAATAACGTTGACCTTAATCAAATGCTTACTTTATGCCAGAAAATATACTAAGCAATTTTTTGTAAATATTTTAATTAACTTATTTCTTCCAAAACCCTTGTGAATAAGTACTATTATTATCCTCATTTTATAAATGGTGATACTGAAGCTTAGAAATGTGAGTTTGCTCAAGGTCTCACAGTTGGTGAGTCCAGAGCCAATACGCTTACCCACTCCACTGTTTCTGTCATATATTCATGGGTTTTATAGAAATTTTCATTCTCTTCCTCTAAGAAATTACATATCTACTTAAACTGTGGTGTTAGTGTTTATTCTCTACAGCTCAGAACCAAGAGTAATGCTGGTTACAGATACAGAGAACAGGCGGATGGTTGCCAGAGGGAAGGCAGTTTGGAGGATTGGATGAAAAAGGTTATGGGATTGAGAAGTACAGATTAGTAGTTACAAAATAGTTATGGGGATGTAAAGTATGGCATAGGAAACATAACTAATAATGTAATAACTATGTATGGTGCCAGGTGGGTACTGGGAATATCAGGTGGAACCCATAAAGATATGGTTGTTTAACCACTGTGCTGTACACCTGACACTAATACAAAATAATATTGCATATAAATTGCAATGGAAAAAAATAGAAAATAAATAAAAATGAAGGAAAGAAAAGAGTAATGTGGGTAATATGAAGTTTTATTTAGCTAATACAAGACCACAGATTTTTTAAAAATATATATTTTTTATTGATTTCAGAGAGTAAGAAAGAGGGAGAGAGAGACATAGGAACATTATGATGTGAGAGAATCATTGATTGGCTGCCTCCTGCACACCCTATACTGGGGATCAAGCCAGAAATCTAGGCATGTGCCCTGACCAGGAATCAAACCATGACCTCCTGGTTCACAGGTTGACGCTTAACCACTAAGCCATGCCGGCTGGACATATGACCAGAGATTTGCTTCAACTTTATTTTGACAGCTCTTCTACATTTTATTGTGCTAAACCCTGGTCAATTCACCTGGAATGTAGGCATGCAACTTGTGCCATATCTGCGGATTTTTCTTACAAAGGTACTGTGTAAATAAAAAGGTAATAATGGACTCATATCTATTCCAAACATCAAAATATTTAAAGAAATAGGAATAAAAGAAAAAAAATATTTTTAAATTGGAATTATCTTAGTAGTCAGAGAATAAAGTATTATATAAGAATAATACAGATTTTTAATTTCAAGTAATTTATTTTACTTGAAAGAATAATGAGGCACTTTAGGTGATTTCCCTAAATCTCAATGCTAGCCATTGACAGTCTCTGGGTAAAACTTTGAGTCTCTTAAATACATTAATTGTTAAAGCATTTCTGTTTTTCCCATCTCAGTTGAAGTAAACATGACTGTTCAATTATTTTACATTTTAAGAGTTTGGAGTTATTTTTAAGACTGAAAAAGCAATATATATTTAGTATACAATGTTTGGAAAACTCAGAAAAGTATATATAATAGAATGAGGAATTCACCTACAATCCCATTATCCAGAATAAAAAAACCACTAATATTTTCATCAATTTATTCACAGTTTTTTTAATATGCACATTCCTGCATTCAAATAATATTGATGAATGCCTACTATGTGCCAGGCACTATTCTAGGAGCTGACAATTCATCACTGACAAAAGACACTAAAATTCCTAACCTCATTTATCTTGTATTCTAGTTAGGGGAAATAGACATTAAGCCTATTAATAAGTTTACTAAATAACAAGATATATAGAAGTTTTAATAGTGACCCATGCTATGAGTGATGGCTTTTGGAAAATAGGGTGTTCAGAAAACACTCAATGGTAAGAGCTTAGAAGAGACTTAAAGAAGAAAGAGAGTAAGCCCTACATTACTGGGGTGGGAGGAAGTGTTCCACATAGAAAAAAAGTCACGTGTAACAATATTAAAGGAGAGATGTGTCTGGATTGTTCTATGAACAGCAAGTGGCTGGAGTGGAGTTCATGAGGGGGGACAGTATTAGCTGATGGCATCAGAAAGAACAGGGGATGGAGGGTGAGGATGTTTTTAGGTCCTTTGTTTTTTACTATAAATGATACAGAAAGCAGTTGAAAATTTATAAACATACAGAGTGTATGGTTTAACAGTTTCACTCTGATTTCTGTAAGAAGACTAGCCTATAGGGGGTTAAAGGTGGAAAAAGAAAGAATCGTTAGAAGGTTATTACAACAAACAAACCAAAGGGGTAGCTGAGTGATAGCAATGGGGATGGTGAGAAGTGATGAGATCTGGATATATCTTGAAGACAGAGCCGGCAGAATTTGTGTGATTGGATGTTGGGTACAAGAAAAATAGAGGAATCAATAATAATTCAAAAGGAAGATGGGGAAGACTTCAGGATGAGCAGATTTGAAGGGAAAATTAGGAGTTCATTATGAACATATTAAACTGGAAGCTCCTAGCAGATATTCAAGTGGAAGTGTAATGAAGGCAATTGGGTATAAGAGTTTGGAATTGAGGAAGAAGTTTAAGCTAAAATATGCATACATTTGAAAATAATCAGCATACAGATCTTACATAAAATCATGAGAATGGAAATTACCATGGAAATGAGTTTGGAAAGGAACTAAATTCAAAGATTGGGCTGTAGATAACTTCAATGTTTGGTAGTAGAGGAGATAAGAGAGAACCAATGAGACTGAGATAAAAGAATCAATAAGCTGTAGATGGGATACTGAGAAAACAGTGTTTATAAGCCAAAGGAAGAAGGTATTTCAATTGTGGGTATAATTAATTATAATTGACCAAGTTATAAAATACTAGAGGCTTGGTGCACGAAAATTGGTGCACTGGGGTGAGGGGGAAGGTGCCTCAGCCTGGCCTGCACCCTCTTGCAGTCCGGGAGCCCTCAGGGGATGTCCAACTGTGGCTTACCACTGCTGTGGACATCCTTAGCTCTCCCACCATCACTGCTGTGCTTGCCAGCCTTTAGCCTGGCTTGTGGCTGAGCAGCGCTCCCCTTGTGGGAGTGCATTGACCACCAGGGGGCAGCTCTTCCCCCCTCATCACGCTGCTGCTGCCACTGGTCACCACCCCCCCATTGCCATTCCCTCCCTCTGCCCACTGGCACCCACCTTGGCTGGCCTGGCACCGCCTGCTCACCGGCCCCACCCCTGGTTGTTCTGCCATTCAGTCGATTTGCATGTTAGACTTTTATTATACAGGATTTCTCCTAGTCATTTGCATTTCACTTTTTCAAGGACTCAGTGTCCTTAAGTATTTTAATACTAGAGGCCCAGTGCATGAAATTCATGCATGGGGGGTGGGGAGGCTCAGCCCAGCCTGCACCCTCTCCATCCAGGACCCCTCAGAGGATGTCCGACTGCCAGGGATGGGACCTAAACCGGCAGTCAAACATCTGGCAGTCGGACATCCTTCTCACAACCCTGGACTGCTGGCTCCTAATCACTCACCTGCCTGCCTGTCTGGTCGCCCCTAACTGCCCCTCCCCCACGATCCTGATCACCCCTCACTGCCCCCCTCTGCCGGTCTGGTCACCCCCAACTGCCCCTCTCTGCTGTCCTGGTTGTTTCTAGCTTCCCCCTCTGCCAGCCTAATTGCCCCCAACTGCCTCCCCCCACCAGCCTACTCACCCCTCACTGCCCCCCTGCCAGCCTAATCACCCCCAACAACCCCCTTGCCAGTCTGGTAACCCCCAACTGCGCCCCCAGCTGCACCCACCTGCCAGTCTGGTCACCCGCAACTGCCCCTCTCTGCTGGCCTGGTTGTCCCTAATTGCGCCCCCTGCTGTCCTGGTCACCCTACGCAGCCTGCTCATTCAGTCAATTGGTGGTCCCTCACTAACCCCCCTGCCAGCCTGGTAGTAGGCAGCCATCTTGTGAGGGTATGAGGGTTAATTTGCATATTACCTCTTTTTATATAGGATTCTATCAAAATGGGAACAATTTTAAGGGATGTTTTGCATCCTAACCTTTCATCATCCATCTCTAATTATGGTAAAACTTATTCTCAAGTTAATGTAATTTCAGTCATCTTGTTGACAGGATAGATAATTTTGAGGGTTTGGGGCCCTCCGCTTGTCTCATTACATAATGTTCTTATTTTTGCTCTCTTGAAAACATTGCTATACGCATTTGTATACTTAGTGGCTGTTTACAGGCATGCAGTATACCTTTTTCTCCCCACCTCTGTCCCATAGCCCTTTTTTTTTTTTATCCTCACTCCAGGTTATGTTCAGAAAGTAGAAGGGGAGGAGGGGGGGGAGAGAGAGAGAGAGAGAGAGAGAGAGAGAGAGAGAGAGAAACATTGATATGAAAGAGAAAGATGGATTGGTTGCCTCCTTGCCTCCTGTACACATCCAGATCAGGGATTTAACTCACAGCAACCTAGGTATTTGCCCTAACTCTATATCAAACCTGCAACCTTTTGGTACATGGGATGATGCTCCAACCAACCAAGGCACTTGGCAAGACATCCACAGTCCATCTTTCATAAAAATTTTCCAAACTCTTTGTGAGTCCATGTTCCAGGAGCACAATTCCAAAGAACAGCCAAAGGCAGAGGGATGAAGATATTGATAATTTAGGCTTTTATTATATCGGCTAGTGATTGTCAGCCAATATAGAAGTTAGAATGAATTGCCTCCCCAACAGAGTCTTGGGGGTAATGGGACATAGGACACATGTTTGATGTCAGGGAAGGGATTCAGCATCACATAAGCAAAGCCCCAATGGGACCAAAGAGAATAGCAGGCCTGGGTGAGAAGACCTATGAATAAGAAAAGAATAAATGACCTATGTGAGTGAGCAGAAGAGGAAACCCTCAAGTATCTGTAAAGTCATCATGATAAAGATGGTTAGCCTTGCTGTGTATTAGAATTGGAGCCAGTGGAAGGAAAATATAAACATATCTCGTTAAAGAAAAAAACTATACATTAGAGTTGTTCAGAAATAGAATCATCTACCTTAGGAGAAAGTAGTCAAATCAGTGCCAAAGAGGCTAACATCTAATTGTCAGGAATTTTAAAGAAAGCATTCAAGGTGAATTGTTGAATGAACCACAAGGGCAGTTCTACTCTGAGATGTCATGGTTGTGTCAAGTGAAGGTCTTGGGTGCTTCTGAGGTTCCTATGTACACATGATGGGGATGAGTATTGACAAAAAAAAGAGCCATGGAGAATGAGTGGGAAAAAGAGATCTCTGGAACAATTTGGTTTCGTTCTGTTTTAATACAACTCAGCAAGCATTTATTATCTGTGATGTGTAAGACAGCCTATTAGGCATATCACAATTTCCCCCATGTTGGTTCATGTAAGATATGTTTATTGAGTAGCTACAACAGAGTTTACATTCTACAAGTAGGTGAAGATAGAAAAAAGAACATGGCATCATGGTACCCTTGAAGGAGAGCAAATCTAGAAGGGAAGGAAAGCATAAGAAACTTTTATATTATATGGACAGGACTGTCCATTTGACTAATTTTTCTTTGAAAGAGAAACTGGCAGGCCTTGTACACAGAGAATACATTGAAAAAGCTTATGAAATAGTAAAAAGCAGATATATAACCCGAAGTTGTACTTCTGTCACTTATTAGTGAAATGATTGTTGGTAGGTTGAAATCTCTATTAGAAACCTCCATTTCCCCCTCTATAACATGGGGGTATATAGTTGTAAGAAACTGGCACATCAAGATCCATAGAGATTATAATGAGTTTGTTGTTTTAAATAGTTAGAAAAGTAATATAATTTCAGTGTCTATGTTTTATAAAAATACAAAATATATAAAATTAACAACTTACAGAAACATAGCTGGCATTAATATAATCCGATCCTGGAATACTAGCATCAGCTATCAGCTTCACTCTGTTATTATTATCTAGAAAAAAAAATGTAAGAAATCAATACTAATTCCATTTTAACTTGCCACTACATTTTTACAATAAATGAAGTTCATGATATAACATTCAACATTACAGATGGGTATAAAAGTAAAGTAGAAGTTCCATTTTATCACATATTTTCACTACCTAGAGACAATGACTATTAATATGTCCTTGCATATGTTTCCAGAGTTTTTTGTACATACTCATAGAAAATTAATCACAAACTGCTTTTTTCATTTACCTGTATCATTCCATATTAATGTAAACAATGATATCTAGCTCATTATTTTAAAAATCCATGTAGTATTTCATTGTTTGATTACATCATATTCAAAGGTTTGAATTAATGTCATTTGTTTTATAAAATGCTGAATAAAGATAACTGAAGTTTTTACATATATGTTGGAGTGTATTTATATATTACAGCAATAATATTCCCAAATCATAATGTGCATTTCAAATTTTGAAAGATAATCCCAAATTGGTAATTATACCAATTCATACTCTGAACAAAAATGTTCGAACAATTCTGTTTCCTCTTATTTTCACTACCACACATTATCAAACATTTTAATTTATGATCTTCTGACACAAATTGATATCTCATAATATTTATTTTTATCCCCTTAACTATAATTAAAATTTGGCTTCTTTGCTTGTTTATTGGCCTTTTCTATTATTTCCTTTTCATACTATACTACTTTCCTATTAAAAATACTTTACTAAAAACAAAAGTTACATGTGTCCTATTGTATTATGTATTAAACTTTTCCCCTTTCTTGTCTTTTACTCTATCAATCTAGCTAGCTATCTTATCCTACATAAAATATATATTTTTTGTAATCCAATTTCTCATTTCTTTTCATTATGGCTTCATTATAGCTGCTTTTATTATTCATGCGAAGGTGTTTGTCAACAATATTCCTATTTTCACAAATTAATTAATACTTTCTTCTGGAACTTTAATATGCTTTTTTTGCTTTTGTTTTAAGTATTTCAATCCATTGGGATTTATTTATTCATTTATTTATTTATTTATTTATTTTACAGAATGAAGTAAAATCTATTCTTTATTGTTTGTTTGCTTGTTGCCATTTGAAACAACAAATAAACCCCATTTTTTAACATTCCTCCTTCCCCTTCTAATTCAAAATATTACTTTATTAATTCACTAGACTTCTTTATATTATTTACATCTATTTCTGGAGTACTTATTCTCTTCTATTAATTTATGTGCTTATTCATTATTTAATACCAAACTTTTAATTATTAGAATTTTTAGGATTTGGAAAATGTAAATAACTCCTATTACTTTTCTTCAAAATATTAGATTTTTTTCCCCTGAAGATTTTTTTTTTACCAAGTTGGTAATATAATTACAATTTCCAGTACTAATTTTAAATAGACATGGGAATAATAAAAATAATATATTATTGCTAATTAATTATTTTGAATGATTTTTTTAAACCTTAATGAGAAGACACTCAATACCGGAGGAAAAATGGGAAAATGAGTTTAGGTTTGAATTCCAGATGATCTGTCTACTATCCTTCTTTGTTACCTCAGCTATAATATGTAGCTATATTTATTTTGTAGAATCCTCTTGAGGAAAACTTACATAAAGCTTATGGTAAGCATTCAATACGTTTTTTCATATTCTTAAAACTTGAGCCCATGTTATATGTTAAAATGACATAGCCAGATTGTTAGTAACTAATGACTTGCACAATGGTTTTAAAGTTAGAGATGGGAAATGTTTAGCAAATCCATGCTGATGATTATGTTCCAAAGATTCTGAATTTGGTATGATCAAACTATTTTAATGACATGGTGGCTAGTCCTAACTAAGGAAGGTTTCTATTCACTCGATACGTCTGTTTGTAACTATCTGAGTCAACAAGTTAATTTTTTTATTCCTAGTGTTGGAACACTCCTGAAGGTCATGATGTCCTGTCAAGCAGAGATTTGCAAATCTCTTCTGCAAGTATTTGTGGCTAATTCTAGCATCTTAAAGCCCTGTAAGCTAATATCTTCTAAAATGCACTGTGATATTTGAAATTCTACTTCCTACATTACTCAAGGGAAACAATGCACTTCACTGATCTGGCTCAGGCTGAAATTCAGATTCTATTAAAATGAATTCATTCTCTACAGGAGAAAAAACATTTCTGTGGCTTTATGGCTTCTTTGCAAACATAATGGGTAAATATATTTAGTCTAAACTCATTTGCTTATTCTGTGTGTGTGTGAAGGGGTGGGTGGTGGATGTACTGGACATAGAGGTGGCTGTGAGTTTACCACTTGCCATTTAACCCAGGCTAGGAAAGTGATCTTGTTATTCCCAGACTATAGATCATAAGGGCCTATTCTTAAGTCTTAGTCACTCATAAAGTTAGCATTTTTTTTGTAAAATAAGCAACCTACTGATTATTTACAATCGTAAGAACATATTGAGTGTTTTTCCTATTTCACTACTGGGCAAATTGATTTACAGGATTATTTCATCTGATCCTCACAATAACCTTAAGAGATAGAAACCACAAATAATATGTCCAGTCACTAAAGTAGTTAGTGGGTAAATAGGATCACAACCCAGGGTATTCGATTAGAACCCATGTATTCTTAACTTATTTTTTTTATTACTATACAGAGGGTATGTGTTAGTTGAATTAAAAAATTATTCTAATAACATTCTGGGAAAATATAAAATTTTACCTAACAAAATTATTTCTTATAGGACCTCCAACTCTTTAAGACAGTGGTTCTCAACCTGTGGGTTGTGACCCCTTTGGGGATCGAACGACCCTTTCACAGGGGTGGCCTAAGACCATCCTGCATATAAGATATTTACATTACGATTCATAACAGTAGCAACATTACAGTTATGAAGTAGCAACAAAAATAATTTTATGGTTGGGTCACAACATGAGGAACTGTATTTAAAGGGCCAGAAGGTTGAGAACCACTGCTTTAAGAGGACAGTTAAGAAAAGGGTTTCCCCGTACAAATCCATAGATATAGATGTAATATATTATTTGAAAAAGTACCATAGGTTTTTAGTACTAAAATTAAGAAGAAAGCAGAAAACAACTGGATATTATCCATTTGACTCTAGCAAAGAAAAAATGAAAGCATGAACTTTCCATTCTAATATTCCAGAACATCATTAATTTACAACATAAGTCCATCACTAACAATTATTTTTTTTGTCATAGCCTCAGAAATCAAGAGTTGGAATAATCATGTGCCTCAGTTCTTCCTGTTCTAAGGTTGTTTATTTAGTCCCATCAACCATCCTTATTCTCATTTAATCCTATAAGTAATAAGTTAGTACTGTCTGGTTATTTCATAGCTATGATGTGAATCCAGATAATAATACAGTGAAATCTTAATAATAAAAGATTGAAATATCACATTTAAAATATCTAACAAATTTTTACATATTTAAATTAAATATTCTTTGATGCTTGACAACTAATCAGACATATTTGATTTACTTATTTTACATATACTGACATATAATAAATCCATTCAGCCAACTATATAATTATAAACAAATATTAAATATTACATAGTAACTGTCCTTGAATCAAACTATAGTATTTATTTTCACAGAATACCACTGAGTGTGCATGAACTAGATAGTCTGGAAGAAATTTAGGTACAGATGAGTATAAAAATGTAATTTCTACAACTCTTAAACTTATGATGTATCCAACCCAAGTTAACTCTCTTAAAGGGAAGACCAAAGGGCCTGTTCAGAAATGTTATATCATAAAAGTTTGGAGATGTGAAACATTTCTTATTTTCTATAAGGTCTTATTTGTCAACTGCTCTTAAAGTCATTTACTTACGATTTGTTTTGTTCCAGAAAGGATTTTAGGATTAAAGTTATTTGTATTTTCATCCTATTCTAATTCTTGGGAATTAGCAGATTCCATTAGATTACTACCTCCTATATCATGTTTCCTTAAATTTTTTATTTCATGTCTCAGTTATCCTCTAGTTCTAGAATGTCAGAATTTGGCCCATTTTTCCCTATCCATATACTTTGTGACTTTACATTCTGTGACTGTGTCCTTCTCTAAGTCCATGTCTTTTTAGACAGAAAAGTTCAGTTTTTAAGTAAGGAATGTTCCCCAATATAGCTTTGAAAAGGCATAACACAAAGAGAAAAATTATATTTACTTTAAAATTAAGAATATTTTAAAACTTTAGATTTTAAAAAAAATTGACAATATTTAAAAACATCACAAGTGGCACTTTTTATTTCACAATATAAAGGGTATTAATATAGAATATAGATAGCAGAAACATGTTCAAAAATACGACATCATCTATATAGCTATTATTAACAGAAGTATGTTATGTTTTTTTCTTTAATTCTTAAAGCAATAATATGTTTTGTTTTTCTTATTGATTGAAAAACAAAGCCATTTTTAGTATGGTAAGGCACAGTTCAGCCTTATTTGTAAAACCAATCCTGGTAAGCATAAATGTACATTAACTTTATTCAATATATTTGGTTCTCAATGAATATTTTGCAATGCATTTTTTATATTCCATAAGAAAACAACGCAATTCTCTTAAGGGAAACTAATGCACAAAGTTGCACGTGAACTTTCTCTTTTTATTTGAAAACTTTGTCGGTAGGAAGATGTTAGAGAGTTTTGTTACGTGGGTTAAATTACAAAGCTGAAAAACTATTAGGTCTACAGTTTCTTGCACCTGCATTAAGTGAACCTTGTGTGACAAGCTGCAAACCATGTATGTTAACTTTAATAAAATTAACAAAGCAAAAATGCTATAATTTGAAAGTTGCTGCTAATAAAACACATTATTATAATTTAATTAATATGCAATAAAATATATTTAAGAAATGAAAAAAAGCTAAGATGCATTTTGTGGTCATGTTAAAGCATTTCACAGCTAAAACCAGAGATGGTAAGAGCACATACATGGCTTTATGTTTGGAAAGCGGTTTTTTGCTCGGTTCCAAGGCAGATCGGCATCAGTTGAAGAAAGATCCTGAAGAAATTTTGGTAATTCCTGTGGAATGAAGTCATTGCACAGTTTACATTGATGTCAAAGGTAAACAAGAAATTCCACTTAGTAAAAGAGCATTCTTTTTTCTAAACTCTTTTATATGTAAATTGAAAACTCTCCTCAGAACTGTAGAAACAAGGTATAATTAACCTTAATGAACTTACGTAAACTTTCACTGAAAACATCCTGAATAAAAGTGGTCAGTTGGGCTATTGCTCTCTGGTGTAATTTCTTTATACTTTGGGAAGCTCTAAGATGTGGCAACCATGTTAGTGTCCCTTTCCCATATTTTCTTAGTGGTTTTATTATATATACATATAATATTATTTAATATTTTAATGTCTACTTAGGAGGGGAAAGGAGGCCAGTGATTTATTCTTTGTTTTTTCTCCTCAGGCAGTGTGATTTCATGCCTAGTAATTGGTACAACACTGGTCAGTTTGAGAAGATGCCAAAGGTCAATTCCTGCTTTCTGAAGGCATTGCTAAATCGAGAGTAGAATGCAAAGGTGCGATTAAGAATGATCAGACACAGATGAAGGGTCAAGAAGATCTATTATTGACATTTTGGTGAAAAATCATGATATCATCTATTCATCATTAAGAAAGTTGGTGCTAAAAAAGTATTCATTATTGTGTTGAGCTGACATTTACATTTTCGAAATTTATAATTTTTCATTTTAGAAATGTCTCAACTTGCCAAATTCCTTAAAAGCTACTAAAATATTTGTTTTTACAATTCAACATCATTATAAATTATTTATTTTAATTGAATAATTCTCCCTCCCACCTTATTTTATCTCAGAAAGAAAATCTGGACAGTCTTATGCAGGTGGGTAAGTGTTAGAGCATAGGGACAGTGTAAACATCTGAATGTTGGCATCAGAGGCTTAGGAAAAAAAAAAGAGGGATCCTGTAGCTTCCATGTGTCACAGCTTTGGGAGCATATTTGAAAGAGACAAAGAACTATGTGGGAGAGGGGAGAAGAAAAGTGAATTGGAAATTACCTGAAAAGTGGTACTTCTGTAATTATTTCACATATAAATGTCCATTTATAGACTGAAATGACTGGCCTTGATAATCAATACACAATTACCAGGCTGACTGTTTGGATAGTAATGTTACACTTGATGGCCTCAACCGTCCTCCCTACTGTTAGCTCTTTCTTCTACTGTTTCCTCTTTTCAGTGGGATCACAGTTGGACTGTTTTGCATCCTTATGCTCTTGCATTCATTCCCTCTCTCTGGAATACCTTTTTCCCTTCATGTACTCATTGGATTTCTGTCCGAAATTCATCTCAAAGGTCACCTTTTTGTGAAGTCTTTTCTGACTGCTATCCTAACAGAGTTTATCCTCATTTCTTAATGAATATCTCTGTCATGATACAGTGCCTCTGTAATCTTAAATACATATCTGCAGTTATCATAATATGACCTTCTTTCTGTAGGAATAATTGTCATAATATCTAACACTTGTGCCAGCCACTATTCTTAGTATTACACATGTTCAATCATTTTAGTCTTCACAACTCAATGAGGTAGATGCTAACATTTTATAGATGAGGACAACAAAGCACAGAGAGTTTAAGTGATTTGCCCAAGGTCACTCGGGTATTAAATATGGAATTGATATATATCAAAGTGCCAAATACAATGCCTGTCATATGATATGAGCTTATAAATATTTAAAGTATAATACGTGAATATAACCTGAAGTTTTTTCAAATATATGCATCAAACATGCATTTGTTTATTAAAACATAATTTTGCTTTAACAAACTTAATACAGCATTAGGATAAAAACATTAAAACAAATCCCTTTCATATATATAGATATATTTATATAACATATACACAAAACCTATGTATTTATAAAAAAACGCTCCAAGTTCTTAAAACCATGATCTCCAAAAGAACTAAACTAGAAACTTTCTCAGTATAATATATGTGAAAAAGTTATTGCTAATAAAACTTTTCATCTACTCAGTCATGCATAATGTAATTATATTCGCTTCTATTCTAGTGAAATTACACTTTCGTTTCTGAAAAATTGAGAGTTCCTGCTGTGTAAATGCTAAAAAGAGTTTTATGGTACCACCGATTTTGTTAAGTCCAGACCAATATTACTTAAGAAGCATAACCAAAAAGCTGTAGGAAATACCATTAATCTTCTCACATTTTTTGTTATTATTCCCTGAGAGGCTGAAATATTATAATGCTGAATCATTCAAGCCAATTGTTCAATTCTTTGTTTCATAAGTTCACACACTATATGAATTTCATGAAAAAACAGTTTTGGTGACATTTAGAAATCTGCTTTATTTTCATAATACAAAATAATCATCTAAGTTAGGAAAGATGCTTACAAGTCTTAAAATAACTTGTAGATCTGATATCTACCTTTCATTTTAAAATAGCTTCAATTTTATAGCTATATAAAATGCTAAAAGCAACAAAACTATTCTTAACTTTTAAATAGTTTTTAGGTGACAAGTTCTTTACTAACTTTCCATAACATGAGACAGTATTATTTTCATAGTAACTTAAAAATAGGCCTTGTAAAACATGGACATTCCTTATCTATTTTTTATTTTTGGACAGTTCTATAAATAACATTATTTGTATAATCTCTGGACACATCAACTTCTGCTCTCAGGTTCCCCTATACCACAAACATAAACTAAGCTGGCAAATATAAATTGGAATTATTTAGTTTCTATATTTAAAATAATTACTTAAATATAAACTGCATTTATGGCATAACCCAAGCCCCATACTCAAACAAAAAGTAATGAATACAAGTGCTATAAATCAGCATCTACATCTGAATGAGAGAGCAGAGAAGAAACGAGGCTAGGATGCTATCCCCGGGAGGTCTGAAGAAGTGCACCTTTCCTGACACAGTAGGTGAATAATTCTGTTCAGGTTGCACCAGAGGCTGCCCAGTGTAACATTACTATCCAAACAATCAACCTGGTAATTGGGTATTGATTATCAAGGCCAGAGTCCTTCATGGCCTTGCATGCTTAAAGTGGACATGAAATGTGACACATGAAACGACCAGAGGTCTGGCAATGTTGTGACAACTGTTAGTAACATACCGAAAATTCTTCTTGAAACTTTAGGTTGTTGTTTGTGCAAAGCTCTTCAACATGTTGTAGGAAGGATTTCTTGCTGATCGGCCTCCAAGCAAGAAAAGGTGTAAAATGGAGTCACATTAGGTTGTGTTCTTTCACTTTAGTATGGCACTGGTTAGCAAGTTAAAGAACAGCAGACATTTCAAACCCCATAAACCACCCAACTCCATAAAGTCACTCTGTCATACTTACAAAATTAACTTTTCTCCTTTAAGTGCACTTTCTTTGTATTCATGGCTCAAAATTCCTTCTATTTTTAAGTGACTTTAAGTGAATGATTTAACATTTTAATGAAGAAAGTTTTTCAAGTAAATGTAGGGGCATAAAGTTATCATTGAATCCTCAAGCACATAATACCTCTTTGTCATACAGAAAACATTTTATACATTACAAGGTTTTAGAAGATATAAAATATTGCAGTGACCTCATTCTCATAATGACATGGCTTTTAAACCCCAAGGAGTTTAAATATCCCCGTATTACTTCCCAAGCTAAAATACAGACATGCAGACTTCACCCCAGAGAGAGAGAAAGCATTTCTCCAGTTACCATGCAATTAGTCATGCTTTTATGATTTATATCCAGCCTGGAGGTTTTTCTAACAAACATACAAGAAAGGAACCATACATTATGATTCATCAAATCAGAGAGTCTAAAGTTGATATGCAAAAAGAAGAAAAGATATTTGATAAACTTACTTGATGGATTTTCTATAACTAAGTAACCTGCAACAGAGATTGTGTTAAATGCGTTATGAGTTGAGGGTATGGCTCTTTCTAAAAGAGTTCTAGATTAAAATCAGAAAAATATAAACCAGTTATGTATAATGTGGAATGCTTTTAACTGACATGTGATCATTATTTAATATTCTATTTCATTTTTAAATGTCATATATTATTTGGACCCAAATATAGACAAAAGATAATTTAGCTTCTCTTTCAATCTAAGAAGGAACTTTTCTATATTGCTTGGTATTTGGGGCACTACATTAAAATGGGTCACTTTTTAATATATTGCATAGTATTTAGTGGTATAAGAAAGTTAATAGGAATTTAAAAAATATTTTCTTTGTCCATAGAGAATGCTCAACAAGGAAGAGTGGGTCATTGAAAAATGACATCATATTGCCTAAGGCTTGTTTCATGAATGAGTTTTGATGAACATATAATCATAACAAAAATCACAATCATTTCAGTTATTTTAAACATATCTTTTGTGACAGTTCATTGGTCAAGTTATTTATACTCTGAAAAAATTGAAATTATTTCTAGCAGCTAAATAGACTATGCAACACACAAATTCAGAAATGGACACATCTTCAGTAACAAGTTTGTCATGCACAACAAATTAGCACTGCAAAAACACAAAGGCCACAAAGTATAATGAAATAACGTGAAACATATAACATAGTTTTAAATTTTATATATTATTGGGGATAATTTTACTGTATTCCTTCAATAAGAATCTTTATAAGAGGATGCTGTGTGAAGTAAAGGATGAATGGAAGAAAATAGTTAGATTGAAAAACATGGCATAATGAATATTATGAAGATGGTCATCAAGGAGTGCGTTCAATGAAAAAAACACGAGTCAAAAAGAAGTAATTCCATTCTAATACAGGGATTGGTGAAAAGTACTGGGGTGGTGGAGCAAGTATTATCAAGAAGAATGATAGAATCTTGGCTAATACTGTAGGTGTCCTCAAGCAGAGGGAAACCTCTCCCAGCTTCAGGCTGGAACCTGGCAGAGCATGCCATTATCAAACATGGCATGACAGTGATAAAGTAGCAATGTTAGAGCAAAGTCTTGGTGGGTGAGCTTGTGGGCTTTCCACACACCCTCCAGTGATTCTAAGAAGGCAACAGAGAAATTCTGACTCCAAACGGATATGGAGATGGCTGAATGGGCTATTACATCAGAAGAATCCTTGGTTTGGAGACAGGAAGACAAAATCTGAAATAGAGGCCTTGGAAATCCTTCAGACATGGCAACAGTAGGAACTGGGGAAACAATTGGAAATAACTACCCCTTAGCAAAGACCATCAAGAAAAAAAGACACTGTTGCCAAACCGGTTTGGCTCAGTGAATAGAGCGTCAGCCTGCGGACTCAGGGGTCCCAGGTTCAATTCAGGTCAAGGGCATGTACCTTGGTTGCGGGCACATCCCCAGTGGGGGGCGTGCAGGAGGCAGCTGATCGATGTTTCTCTCTCATCGATGTTTCTGGCTCTCTATCCCTCTCCCTTCTTCTCTGTAAAAAATCAATAAAATATATTTAAAAAGAAAAGAAAAGAAAAGAAAAGAAGGCACTGTGGCCTAAACCCACACTACCCAAGACCCTTTAGATGCCTGATGCCTGAATGCTCCTATGCCATGATGTTCCTCAGAAATAGGAATGGAAAGGGAATTAGATTGGGCAAATCCTAATTAACTGAGCTTCAGATAGAAATAAATGAGATACTTGAATTATCAAACCTATTTCCCTGTTATCAAACAAATGAAAATTCTTGAATTGCATGGAGATAATTTTTATAGCCACAAGGAACATTTTTCAGTTTGTGATTGGTGAGATTCAAACGAACTACATCTGATTTAATTACAAGCTCATGGTCCATTTATTTAAGGACAATCAGACTGAACAGATTCTCTCTTTTCTCAGAAGATCCAGGATTGCTTGAGGATCCAGGCTAGACTGGTAAAATATTTTTACTGGAATATCTAGAATCTGAAATAGAGCTAGTTTCTGGTCAGCCATCAATAAATCATTTGAAGAATCAGTTATGTTTAAGACATTCCCAAAAGATGTTAAACATGAATAATCATATGAAAATATAAATAAGCAAGAAAGAGCTAAAGCAACACATTGTTATTCATATTTTTATTCTTTTTTCATTAATATCTTTTCTCATTTAGAAATTATAATTAAACAATTTTTTCTTTCAAGTAAGTTGTTTTCAGTGAAAAATACTACAGAAAGTTTGTTTATAATAATTCTTATTATTTTTTTGAAATATTTCTCTAAAAATACTAATTTTAAAACATAACTGGCTAACTATTGGACTTGAATTAATATTTGTGAGGCTTCAAATACCTGCTCCAGTTACATTATCTTGAGCAAGTTACTTTGATCTTTCTGTGTCTCACTTTCTTAATTTGTAAAGTGGGATAAAATTATATAAATCAAGCCCTAGCTGGTTTGACTCAGCTTGCGAACTGAAAGGTCCCAGGTTCGATTCTGGTCAAGAGCACATGCCCGGGTGTAGACACGATCCCCAGTAAGGGGCTTGCAGGAGGCAGCCGATCAATGATTCTCTCATCATTGATGTTTCTATCTCTCTCTCCCTCTTCCTCTCTGAAACCAATAAAAAATATTAAAAAATTATATAAATCAAGTTCATATATGTAAAATATTCAGAAAAAGTCCCTGGCTTTGGTAAGCAATACATAAATATTAGTTACTGTCCTTAGTACTATAGTTACTTTTTCTAGTTTATTTTGTATAACTCAAGTTCCTCTTACTCATTGTTTCTATGATTTATGATATAGAGAATATTTTTGGTTTCTACAAGAATATTGTCTTAAATATACTCAAATATGGGTAAACTAGATTGTGCTGGATTAAGCAGCAAGATTTCCTATTTTATTTTTCCTAATCAAGGTTTCTGCATAAAGGATGGTCACAGATATCTAGACTTCCCATCCGAGTCTGATTTTCCAGTTCCCGATGCAAGATCCTAAGTGAATTTCAGTTTTCATGTAATCATGTGAAAGCATTTCTAATCACACTCACATTTTTCACATTATTCCTTACATTTCCCCTTCAGACACTCTGCTTGAACTCCAGATATTCTCTTGGAATTCCTCCCTCTCATTTTGTTTCATTCCAGGTGTTTTCTCACAACTAGATTCTACTGATTTCTTAATAGTTGATTCATATGGTAATTTCTCCCTGGAATTTGTCCTCTTCTATTACAGAGAAAATAATATCTTCCTTCTTAGGACAAATCACCTTCTACCTTGTATTATGGCTATTTAATTACATTCATTAAGGACACTGCACTAAGGTCCATGCATTTTTGAAGGCAAGGTCCGGAGTAATACTTGATTTACCACAAGTCCCTCATACCTTATTCATAGTAGACAATGAGTAAATCATTGTTAAGTATACAATGTGGATGAATTCAGACCAAGATACACCGTAAGCTAAATACAAGTGCTCTGATTACCATGAGAGTATTTGAATTAAATCAATTTTCACTAAAATATTAAGCAATTGAGAATTCCCAGAAGGACCTAACTCAAAGCTTTGGATAATTATGATCACTATACTTATCAGCAAACAGTATAGAGTATAAACAAAGGTCAGATCCTGCCATCTAACACTAGACATTAACAGGTGCTAGATACTTTTGTTAGGAAATTAGATATAGGAACAACAAAAAAAATCGCTCTTGCCTACTTTAGTAATAAAAAATAGGTTTTAAAAAGGAAGTAGGGCCTGTTTTGGCTTTATTCTCTTTTGTATCACTCTAAACCCAATCACTTTCTGCAATCTGTCCTTCGCATTTGGATTTATATAATGTAAGAAACAAAGCTTTTAATAGTCTAATTCTTATGTAATTGTCTAGGCTTATGTTACAATTCCATTTGCAATAAAATTTTCAGGCCAGCCTGGCAGGTCCCCGGGCCCATTTGCTTCCTCCTGGACTTCAGCATGATCGGCCAGAAGATGCTCTATTCCTTCTCCCAGAGGCCTGTGAGAAGAGCGGGGGGGATGCAGCGGCCAGCCCGGCCAAGAAGGCCCCGGCAGAGCAGGAGGTGCCCAGCACATGGCCAATGGGTTTCAGTGAGAGATGGAAGCACCTCAGTGGAGAGTTCAGAAAACCATATTTTATAAAGCTAACGGGATTTGTTGCAGAAGAACGAAGACATTATGCTGTTTATCCACCCCCACACCAAGTCTTCACATGGACCCAAATGTGTGACATAAGAGACGTGAAGATTGTCTTCCTGGGACAGGATCCCTATCATAGACCCAGGGGCTCTGCT